GGAAATCCCGGGAAACGACTCTCGCTGAGGCGCCGGCGTCATTTTCGGGCCGAACGCCCCCCGCGTATTGTTTTTTTACACACAGGATTCCCGGGAAACGGGTTTTCGCCTGCGTTTTTTTGTTTATGATGCTCTCGCTGAGGCGCCAGCCTCATTTCTGCTCCCGAATAGTTCCGAATCGTGCTCCCGCTGCAGCGTGGGCCTCATTTTCGGATCGGTGTTTGGCCTCCGTCGTTCAGGATGGCGTTCTCGCCCCAGCGCGGGCCTTCTTCTCGCGCGCCCATCCGCCCGCCACCACCGCGCCGCACCGCCACCACCACCACCACCACCACCAGCACCAGCACCAGCACCAGCACCAGCACCAGCACCAGCACCAGCACCAGCACCAGCACCAGCACCAGCACCAGCACCAGCACCAGCACCAGCACCAGCACCAACACCAGCACCAGCACCACAACCACGCACACACGCACGCACGCACGCACGCGCACCACCACCCACTACGCACGCGCGCTCGGAGCCACAGGTCCGCTACGACACGCGTCCGCGGATAGAGAAAATCAGCGCCATGGTAAGGGATGGGAGGGAGGGGTAGGACGTCAGATATGACGCGAGCGCACCTAGCTTGTCTTTCCCCCCTCCCCCTCCCCCTTCCCCCGCCCCCAAGAAGGCCTGGCCGCGAAAGGCTTGAGAATCCACAGGCCCGGTCGGGACAGGCTCGAGGGAGCCCACGAAGGCCTTCAACACGCGCCCACGCTGCCTCTAGAGGTCCCCAAAGCCCCTAAGAGGCAGTCGTGCAAGCGGAAGGTGATTGCTTCCCGCATCGTTGCTGCCTCTCCGCATCTCGGAATAATCGTCCCACCGAGGTTTCGCGACGTCGGCTTCCCACCGAAGATGTCTTTTTTATTCATTCGCGTTGCTTCCCATTGCATTTCATTGCGCGACCTGGCCACCAAACCCGAAGCCCGGGTTCGCAACGAAATTCCCCGGAAATCGGTGGCGAACCCGCGATTCGATGCCAAGAATGCCGTACTTCAGCGCGCCCCGTTGCGAGAACGAAACTCGGCTGACCGCTGCCGTTTGCAGACTACGTGACGATGACATCCTTGCATTGGCATTGCTTCGTATTCTGCGGCATTGTTTGGCATTGCGCTGTCTTGTTTGGCATTCATTCGCATGGTTTCCCATTGCTTCTCATGGACCGGCGCGCGCAGCGCAAGGTATCATCAAGAGATATCACCCACAATCCGCGTGCATGCCGAACTTGAAGAACCAGTGTGCATGGCGCTCAGCGCCGATGTAGCCTTATACATACACATATGTGTATGTGCATATCTATACATATGCACATACGTACCTACCTACCTACTTACCTACTTCTCAACCTACCTACATCCATCCATCCATACATACATACTTACATGGCATTCCATTCCATTACATTGCATTTCATTCCATTCCACTCCATTACATTACATTGCAGTACGTCACACTACATTACATTCCATTACGTTACAATACATCACAATACATTGCATCACATTGCATTACATTACAGTACATGTATACATGCATACATACACACATGCATACATGCATGCATGCATACATGTATACACAATCATACATACACACATACATACAACATACCTAGATACATACATACATACATGCATGCATGCATGCATACATACATACACCTGTACATACACATACACATACATCCATGCATACATACATACATCCATACATCCATACATCCATACATCCATACATACTTACATTCATACATACATGCATCCACCCATCCATACACACATGCCTCCATGCATCCATGTATGCATGCATGCATACATACATACATACACACTTGTACCCCGATTTACGAGGCCAAGGGGGCCTGGAGCAAGGGGCCCGACAGCGCATGGTGGTGCCGGGGGCCCAGGCCCGTCCCAAAAGGCTTCCCAAACGTTCCCAAGAGATGCCCCAGACGGCTCCAGTATCTACTATGCGCACTTGATGACCTTCTGGTGGCTTGACACGCTCCCACGACGCTCCACGAGAGCTTCCGGAAGGCCCAAGACGCCCTCAAGTTGCTCCAAGAACGTTCCAAGAGGAACCCAAAGAGGGCCCCAAGAAACTTTCTCATATGTTTTGGGAGGTTTTTTGCTTTTTCGAAGTCTCCGCTACCTGGCGCTCCAAGACTACCTCTCAGGCCCCGAAAATCGCACCGAGACGGCTTAAGAGGCTCCCAAATGGGCGCCCAGACGGCCCAGAGGCCCCCACAACGGCCCAAGAGACCTGCAAGATGGCCCAAGAACACCCCAGGAACCGCCCAAGATCGGCCCCAGGAGGCCCAAATAGGCCCCCAAGATGCCTCCCAGAAGGCCCCCAGAAGCCTTGAGGTGTCGATTAGACCCCAAGAGGGCCCCAAGAGACTCCTGGGCCGTCTCTGGGCGTCTGGTGGTGCACTGGGGCCGCTCAGGGCTCTCGCGGAGGAGTCTGCCGATCCACCTGAACGCTTGGGACCCGCTGGCGTCCAGGAGGCCACCCTCTGCAAGGGCGCCCACGGGTTCTGGGGCCAAGGATCCGGGGGGTCTGGTTTGAGGGGGGGACCCCCCACCTGGTTCCTACAAATTGTATACAAAAAACCATGCACATGCAAGAGGCAATCCGAACAGCGCCACTGTCGCGGGGAGAAAGAAGAGCTCAAACATTGAGCGAAGGGAAGGTGCGCGCCCGCACAGGCTAAAGAGGCAGGGGACGGAGGCAGAACTAGGGATACCATACAAGAAAGGCGCATGAACATGTTCTGGTACAATACCCAACAACGTACTCGAAATGGAGAGAGAATAGCACAAAGAGCAGCAACCGTGTTTGGGTTGATGCCGTGGACGAAGGTCGACTGTGGAAGGTAGTGGCAATCTGCGATGTAAGGATTCTCCTCGAGATTGGTTTACCAAGGAAAAAAGACGTAATCTACCCTCTTCCGTGACGACTGGACCCTCGTGTCGGAACTGCGCACGCCAAGCAACGTCACACACCCTCACTAGAAGAAGAAAAAGCGCCATAAGCAGAAACTTTTGGCGCTCCTCGCGGATTTCTTGGATCTGCGCGCGGAGCGCGCCATGGGCGGCGCCGGAGGCGCCGCTGGAGGGGCCCAGCGCGGATCCAAGAAATCCGCACGGAGCGCCAAAAGTTTATGTTTGTGGCGTTGTCTCCTCTTCGCCTCACACAGACACCAGCACCTACAAGATGCACACTCTTCGACACCCGGCAGGCCTGAAGGCAACCCGAGGCACAACCGAACTGCCATCTCTGAGCGGCGCGCACAAGGGGGTGGAGGGCGGGGGGAGGGCGTCTTGGAAGGAGGCTGCTTCTCAGAGGGCGCCGGCCTTACATCTGTAGACGAGGCCCGCGCCTTCTGAGAAGCAGGGGTGCTTCTAAGAAGCCCTCCCCCCTCCCCCCACACCCCCCCTGCGAGTGGCTGGATCTCTTCGGGGCGGTTTCGGTGCCTCCCGCCCAGCGGACCCGCCGCCGCCTCACTTCCGCCGGCCGCCCGCCGGCCGTTCTCCGTGGACTACTGAGGGACCCAAGGACACCCCAAGAAATACGCACCCCTCCCAGGATTCCCCAGATTTTTCCAGATGTTCTGGAGTTTCGTCCTCCTCCCCAAACTTCCCATGCTTTCCTATATTCTCCTGGGAGTCGACGATGGATTGTGTCTGCGTGCTTTCCCCCCTCCGGAGTGGAGGTGGTGCTAACCGCTCCAACCCTCGAAGGCGAGGCCCTCTCTCGGAGCCCCGAGTCATCAGGGGCAGCTCGGGTCAGGGCTAGCTCGGGCTCGTTTTTCGGGAATCCGAACCCGGTTTACTCCGGGCCCGAGTTACCCCGGATAACTCGGGCGCCCAGAGCTCCAAATCATCAGGGGCAACTCGGGTCACGGCTAGCTCGGGCTCGTTTTTCAGGAATCCGAGCCCGAGTTGCCCCGGGCCCGAGTTACCCCGGATAACTCGGGCGCCCAGAGCTCCAAATCATCAGGGGCAACTCGGGTCAGGGCTAGCTCGGGCTCGTTTTTCAGGAATCCGAGCCCGAGTTGCCCCGGGCCCGAGTTACCCCGGATAACTCGGGCGCCCAGAGCTCCAAATCATCAGGGGCAACTCGGGTCAGGGCTAGCTCGGGTGCGTTTTTCAGGAATCCGAGCCCGAGTTGCCCCGGGCCCGAGTTACCCCGGATAACTCGGGCGCCCAGAGCTCCAAATCATCAGGGGCAACTCGGGTCACGGCTAGCTCGGGCTGTTTTTCAGGAATCCGAGCCCGAGTTGCCCAGGGCCCGAGCTACCCCGGATAACGGGTCGGGCGTCCCAGTTAGCTCCAAATCATCAGGGGCAACTCGGGTCACGGCTAGCTCGGGCTCGTTTTTCAGGAATCCGAGCCCGAGTTGCCCCGGGCCCGAGTTACCCCGGATAACTCGGGCGCCCAGAGCTCCAAATCATCAGGGGCAACTCGGGTCAGGGCTAGCTCGGGCTCGTTTTTCAGGAATCCGAGCCCGAGTTGCCCCGGGCCCGAGTTACCCCGGATAACTCGGGCGCCCAGAGCTCCAAATCATCAGGGATAACTCGGGCGCCCAGAGCTCCAAATCATCAGGGGCAACTCGGGTCAGGGCTAGCTCGGGCTCGTTTTTCAGGAATCCGAGCCCGAGTTGCCAGCTCCAAATCATCAGGGGCAACTCGGGTCACGGCTAGCTCGGGTTCGTTTTTCAGGAATCCGAGCCCGAGTTGCCCTGGGCCCGGAATACCCCAGATAACTCGGGCGTCCAACACTTCCTGTACCGCGCCAGTTGTTATGTCGATGGGGAGCGGAGCTTCCTTCTGGCGCCGGCTCTGGGCGTGGACGAGCGTCGGGGGAAAGAGGGCTCACGAAGTGCGGCGAGAGTGACGCCGAGGGCAAATCGCAGGTGGCGCCCTGGCCGACATGTCGCGGCACGGAAGCTCCGTCGCCCGTGCCGCCACTGCCAATGGGCGGGACGGAAAGAGCACAGCAAAAAGAGCGGGAAGGACACAGAGAAAGAGAGAGAGAGAGGGAGAGAAAGGGAGATACAAGGAAAGATAATGGAATAGAGACACACACACACACACGCACACGCACACGCACACGCACACGCACACGCACACGCACACGCACATGCATATATACATGCACATATATATATATAGAGAGAGAGAGAGATAGCAGAAAGAGAGAGAGAAGGATAAATCAAGGAGCACAAGAAAGATGAATACAGAAAAAGAGAGAGAGAGAGGTAGAGAGATAGAGATAAAAAGAGAGAGGGAGAGAGACAGAAAACAATGCGAGGACCACGGGAATAAAGGGAAGCATTGACAGGGGCAACAATGAAGGATTGGAGGAAGGGTGGACAGCGAGGGACAGAGAGTGAATCAGATTCGCTGACAAGATGGGCCGCGCGGAATGAATCAACGCACTCCCAAGAGAGGCCGTATACGAAACCGAAACGGAGCACCTTCTTGGCGGCTGTCAGGTCTTCCAACAACGCCTGGTTCATGACGTCGGCTGTGCAATTCTGCGGGGGACAACACATGACGACACCATTCATGTCACTGCCGCTTGATCACCATATCGAAGTTGCACACACTGCACAAGACGTTCGAGCCACTGCGCCTGTCAACGCACAAGCACGCACACACACACACACATACACACACACACGCACACACACATCTCTTCCGATGTGTTGAAGAGCCCAACCAACGGTTGAGACTGCGGGCTATGGCGGGCAACGCTCAAAACAACTCCCGGGAAGCCGCGTGGTGCAGACTGCAGTCCCTGGGAAACGCACATGTGCGCACACAGTGTCAGGTCGGCGGCGCAGAGGATGCAGAGGACCCTCAAATTGCGATCGAGCATTGTGAAAGGCAGATGGCACAAAACGTGCACACCGTGAAATGCAACGATGGGTGCCCTGACTTCGGATCCGCCCTACTTTGGGAAAATTCGTAAGTAGGGCTTGGAATTTCCGCCTTACTTTTCAAGCCCCGCTGATGCCAGTTTCCGCCCTACTTTTCTGTTGCTGTTTCTGTGGATTTCCGCCCTATTTTATGTTGGGTGCAGCAATTTCCGCCCTACTTGTTCGGCCCCTTATAGGTGGATTTCCGACGCAACTTTAAGTTGGAAAAAAAGCCAAAGTAGGGCGGATCTGGAGTCAGGGTGGTGTAAGGAGGAGCTGCAAATCCAGACGAGCCGTGCAGCGGCCAGGAAGCCGAGGGAGGAGGCCACTCAGCTCGAGGCAAACGGAAGCGCGAGCAGTCTGGTGCGAAACGGCGGCCACGGCGCGCGCACACGCACGACTCCCCCTTTGGCGTCGCGGCCACGCGCGCAGCGACGCGGCGGAGTCCGTCGGCGAATCGCCGGGACTCCAGGTCGTGACCCCAGAAGGGGGTCCAGCTCGAAGGGGGTGGTGCAATAGATTTGGGGCAATAGTATTGCAAATGTATGGTTCCAGGGAGGTGTATTGCATTGTAGTGCAACTAATGCATTGCAAGCGACAGTTCAGCAAAACACTTGCGCCCGGGAATGTAGTGCACACCCCAACATCTATTGCACCCCCACAAATCTTTTGCACCAAATCTATTGCACCACCCCCCCTTTTCGGTGGACCCCCTTTTGGGTTAACAAGATGGAAGTGCCTCGTAGGCCACATGAGGGGCAACGATAGGGAGGGACTGGCATAGGGGGGACGCATCGACCTGGAATCGGCGATACATCGCCGATGGATCGGCGATAGGCCCCGATAGTGAATCCGCACCTTCCTGTGCAGGCTGGGACTATCGGGCCCCTATCGGCGATCAGTGGGCGATTGGGGGTCGATGCATCCCCCCATATGCCTATCACCCCCTATCGTTATGTTGTTGCCATCGTACTTAAGGACCACATCCCAGAAATAATGTCGAGCACCCAGAAAAGAAGTACCGAAACAATGCCGAACGAGTATCGTCTCCCAGGGCCCGACACGCGAAAACCCTCCAGTTTCGGTGCTCTCTTGGTGCTCTCTCGAACTTCTCTCTGGTGGTCGAGGCGAAAGCAGGTTTCAGTCGGGCGTGTCCCCCATACAGGGAGATCTTGGGCGAAACATGAAAGACACCCCAAAAAGTACTCCAACAATGCCCAAACATATTCAAAGAATAGTCCCCAGATTATTTTCTGACTATTTTTGAACATTCACCCTGTAGAGTGTACACCCTGCGAAATGCTTTAGAAATCATGGGTTAAGAAATTCATAGTCTCAGAATTTGAATAAACATCCAGAATGTCTATTCAAATCTTAGGATCTACATTGAAACATTAAGAATAATCGAGACTCTGGCCGAAAACTTAAGTTTTCTTAAGCATCGCCTAAGGTGTAGAGGGACAGGCCCGACTTAAAAGCAGGAGGGAACAGACCCTGTCGTTGCCCCTCGGCCACGCCCGCGGCCGGGGGACCACACACAGCCCCGGCGAGGACCGCAGGGCCCACCCGCAGGGAACCGCGCGCTGCGCGGGCACGCCTCGGGGGGGGGGCAGCCGAGGCGACCTCCTCCCTCCTCCTCCTCCTCCTCCTCCTCCTCCTCCTCCTCCTCCTCCTCCTCCTCCTCCTCCTCCTCCTCCTCCTCTCTCCTCTTGTTCCTCCTCCTCCTCCTCCTACCTCCTCCTCCTCCTCCTCCTGTCTCTCCTCCTCTCCTCCTTCTCCTCCTCCTCCTCCTCCTCCTCCTCCTCCTCCTCCTCCTCACTCCTCACTCCTCACTCCTCACACCCCTCCCTCCGCTTCCACAGGGGGAGCGGGAGGGCAATACCAGGCGGATGCGCCGAAGGAGGCGAGCGGGGAAGCGGCCCACGGCCGCCGGCTCGAGGGGACGGCACGGCAGGGCACCGGACCTGGGGCGGTGGCCGACCTCGAGGGGGGTCCCGGGCAGACGCGCACACAGACGTGAGCGATCCCTATCCTCGGGTCGGGCGTGTCCCCCTGCAGGCGGATTTTGGACGAAAAAAAAAAAAAAAAAAAAAAAAAAAAAAAAAAAAGTAGACAAGACATGCTCGAACGTTGACAAACCTAGTCGAACATCGTGCCCAGACAATTGTTCTACCATTTTCTGATATTCCTCCTGCAGAGGGACATGCCCGACTTAACCCTATCCCCACTCGCGTGGCCTGGGCCCCACTGGCCGGTTTACCGCCCCATAGAAGGGGATACAGGCAGTTCCTGTTAGATTCCGACGGGTATATATTCCTAACTGGGGGGATGAGATGGTGGGGTTCTGGACTGGGATGGAGATGTAAGAAACCGAACTTTCTACACCGATGCTTTTTTCTGGTTCCGTACTGAGATTCGCACAAGAAAACGGATTATCCTGGTGTATACATGTTTTGTTGCTTCCACGGGAAAACGGGGAAACAAGTATACACCACACCACCCCGACGTCGTCCCCGACCCTCAAAAAAGTCCTGGGATTTGAAAACCGCCCGCCACTGGTAATGTATATGCTCTAGTTTCCGAGGATGGGGATCGATGCAACGATAATGCAAATGGGCGCACGCACTCGCGCGCGCACATGCCCCCTCCCCCCAGGCCGGAAGCAACACGCGCACCGCCCGCACGCTGCAGGACGCCAGGAGAGAGCACGCAGCCCGTGGGCCAGCAAGAGCGCACGGCACAGCAACAACGCCGGCGCCGTGGCACCGCCGCGTAGCGAGAAGCCTCCGGCCATGACTTTCCCACTGCCCGAGAGCTGGCCATCGCTCGGACGTCCCTTCCCTGTGCTTTTTTCTCGGCTTCGTGCGTGGCTTCTTCGCCAAATGATCAAGGATGTGCTCCTCGATGGATGCTCCTCGAGGGCCCTCGCCGAGAAAAAATGCACACGTCCGAGCGGTGCCAAGGAGGGTGTCTGGGAAGGCGGCGCGCGCGCCCGGCGACGCACGCCGCGGGCCGCGCGGCGCACGCGCGAGCCGCGAGCGGGGCGGCCCCGCCGGGCGGCGCCGAGGCCGGAGGCCGCGGGCCCGCAGCGCGCCCGGCCCGGGCCTCGGGCAGGATCGGTTCTTCGATGCCTCGATGGTCGGAGCTTTCCGTCCCTATATCGATGCCTCGAACATCGGCTCCTCGATCCCGCAGATATCGGTTCCTCGAAGATCGATGCCTCGAAAATCGATCCCTCGAATATCGATTGCTCGAATATCGATTCCTCGAATATCGATTCCTCGAGTATCGATTCCTCGAATATCGATCCCTCGAATATCGATCCCTCGAGTATCGATTCCTCGATCCCTCCATTTCAGCCGGTGCTGCTTCCTCGACGTCGATCACGGGGGGCTGCTCTCGGGCCCTGCGAGCAAGACAAATTCTCCTGGGGAGGAGGAAGTGGAGAAGAAGGGTGAAGAGGAGGAAGGGAGAGGAGAAGGAGGACGAGGAGGAGGAGAGACGCTCAGTCGCCCTTCCCTTGGGCGATGGGCGCTGTCGCCCCTCTCCGCAGCGGCCTCGGGGTCCTCCTCCGCACCCTCGGCCTCTAGACCCGTGAGGACGGCACGACCCTGCTCAGCCCCCTCGAGAGGATCGATGATCCTCAGAACGTGTGCTAGCGTCGGGTAGGGCACGTCCTACTACGGGCGGATTTTGCATGAAGAATAAACAATCATCGTGCAATATACAAAAAACAACAGCAATCGGAGCATCGCCCCCTGACAATTTCCCAACCATCCTGTGGTGTTGGGTCCTCGTTTTGAAGAGACGGTCCCCGCGTTCCTCCTTCCTCCTTCCCCCCTCCTCCCCCTCCTCCTGCGTTTCACCCACCCAGTACAACGTGTCGTGGCCCCATAGGGAGCTCCACCGAAGCCCCCTGTGCCACCGTCTGGGACGCGTGAATTTGGCGTTTTCACCCACCCAATACAGCGCTTCGTGGCCCCATAGGCTCCACCGAAGCCTCATTGCCACAGTCCGGGACGTGTGAATTTGGCATTTTCACGTACCCAGCACAGCGCTTCGTTGCCCCATAGGGAGCTCCACCGACGCCCCCAGTGCCACCGTCCGGGACGCATGACTTTGGCTTTTTTACCCACCCAATACAACGCTTCGTGGCCCCATCATAGGTAGGAGCTCCACCGGAACCCCCAGTGCCTCCGTCCAGGACGAGTGAATTTGGCATATTCACCCACCTAGTACAACGCTTCGTGGCCCCATCGGCTCCACCGAAGCCCCATTACCACCGTCTGGGACGCGTGAATTTGGCAGTTTCGCCCACCCATTACAACGCTTCGTGGCCCCATAGGGAGCTCCACCGAAGCCCCCAGTGGTCCCGAAGCCCAATTTGGCACTTTGGCTCACCCAGGACAGCGCTTCGTGGCCACATAGGGAGCTCCACCGTGGGACCGCCCGCAGGCGTCCCACACACGCAATTTGGCATTTTCACCCACCCAGTACAGCTCTTCGTGGCCTCATATATGGAGCTCTACCGACGGCCCAATGCCACCGCCCGCATGCGTTCCCGCCTACCCTGTGCCGCGCTTCGTGACCCCATGGGGAGTTCCACCGAAGAAGATATTCACAATTGCGGTACCCACAACTGCATATGCTTGGGTCCTTCGCCGGGATAATGGTCAACTATTTTTTTGAAGATTCCCCCTATAGAGGACATGCCCGACTTAATGCCAAGCGCCACCGTGCGCTTGTCCAAGGAAACCGACCTAAGGCGGTGTAACGAGGGCGGGCGCAAGCTGCGCGCTGTCGGCGGAGGTGAAGGGCAAGCGCACATTCGCGATCATCGAGGGGAGGAGAGATACGAGAGGAGGAGTGGGGGAGAAGGAGGAGGAGGAGGAGGAGGAGGAGGAGGAGGAGGAGAAGGAGCAGGAGCAGGAGGAGGAGGAGGAGGAGGAGGAGGAGGAGGAGGAGGAGTAGGAGGAAGAGGAGGAGGAGGAGAGGCGGATAAGGCAGGAAAACCCTCCCCCCCCTCTCCGAAGCACGCCTGCTGGTTCCACGCCGTGTGGATCATCAGGAAGCGGAACTGCGAGACCTCGGCGGGCGGCGGGCGCTGCGCGGGCCAGGAGGCGGTGCCCTTCCCGGGCGGACGAGCAGAGGTCGCGGGACGAGCTCGTCCCTCGCCGGGGTCGGCTGCGCCGAACAGGGGTCGGGGGCGACGATGGGGGCGAACAGCCCAGCGGGGAGCAGTGCATGTATCCAGGGGCGCCGGTGGTCCATGTCTTCGGCGAGGCTCCCGGGCGAATGCATGTAATGCCCGCCCCTCAGCTATTCGCCCTTGTCGTCGCCACCGAAGGGGGCCCAGGAAGAGGGTGGCCGGAGCATCGTGGCCCGGGGTGTGCGCGGACAGGAGAGTGGGGCGCAGGGACTGCATTGCAAGAAGAGGAGGGGGCCAAAAGAAGTGTGGACACCGTGGCCCCCACCACGATTGGGAAACGAGACCGAGCACAATCTCTTCGGCATGTTCGCAAACTGTCTGGCACCGAATGCAACCACCCGACAGATTCGGAGTGCAACCTGAATGAAGTTGACTGTGCCGTGATTCTTCAGATCTCTGAAGGACGCTCTTCGGAACGACCTCTTGAGAGCTTATAAGCGGCCTCATGAGAGCTTCTCGGCGGCTTCTTGAGAGCCTTTTTGTGGTCTCTTGCGAGCCTCTGAGCGACCTCTTGAGACCTTCTGAGAAGCTTCTGGAAGGTTCCTGAGAGGCTTCTGAGAGCCCTCTGGGAGACTTCCGATAACATCTACAACGCACGCAACAATATAAGCGATGTTCAATTGTTCTGTTTATAATCCTCCTGCGGGGAGCGAGACTTCAAGAGGCCCCCCTTACGCCCCCAGGAGGCCTTAAGAGGCTCTCAAGGGGGCCCCCACGAGGTGCCCATGGAGCCCCGCAAGAGTCCCAAAGCCGCCTCCGAAAGGCCCCTCGCTCTCCTTCGCCGCCTCCCTCCTCCCCTTCCTCTCGTCCCCTGTCCTTCCGCCTTCTTCCGCCCTATTTCCCTCCTCCAGCCGCGACACCCGCGACCCATGCACGGTGGCTGGATGCACCATAATCCACAACAAATTCATGCGGAGTGACACAGCGAGTCTGATTCTGAGAGAACGAGATCCATGCATCACGTGCTTATGCCCACACGTGTGGCCCGCTCCGAAAAGTCTGAACCCAACAATATTGACGCCTCGCGTTTACCTCCGCCGCCTTCCGCCGGCCTTCCGCTACCTCGCGGCGGCGGAGCCTGAAGACGTCGCCGCTTTTCTTCCGCCGAAGGCGAGGCGAGGTGCACCGCTGGCGAGGCCCTTCTGGACGTCAGTATGTGGATAGACGGACAGACAGACAGATTGACGAACACACGCGGCAAACGGACACTGACACAGACACAGGCACGCGCACGCACACACAGACAGACGGCAGACAGCGCAGCGCGGCCCGAAGGCCATGCTGCATAGCGAAGCGCTGAAGGGCACCTGCATTGTCACGAGCTCTGCACCCGGCCGGCCAGATGCTGCGATCACGTCTCAGGGTAACTCTCCGGCGGGTCAACGATGCGGGCGGGGGGGAGAAGAGCAGGCACCGACATCGCTGCTCCCCGGACCTCTCCCGGGGCGCGTCCCGACCAGCATCTCGAAGTGAATCCGGCCGTGGCGACGAGGTCCGTCCAGGAGGCCTTTAAAGACGAAAACGAGGCAAAAGTGGCGGCATTGCTACCCTGTGCGGCTCGGCAGGGTAAGGCGCTGCCAGCGAGGACCTTCTTCGCGCCAGACCTCCCCAGACCCCCGACGTCATGATTTTTTCATGACGCGACCCCCAGAAGTCCCGACCCATTCCCGGGGACCGGTTTTTCGTCCTGAGTCGTTTTTTGACGGTCCCGAGGACCGGCGAGGGCCCCCGGAGGCCGAAAATAACGAAAAACCTCCCGTCGTGATTTTTTCACGACGCGAGGAGGTCTGGGTCCTCGCGCTGTTCCCGGCCGTGGCCCCGGGCGGCTTCTTCGAGCGCGGCGGCGGACCCCGGCGGTTCTCAGAGTGCGGGGGGCCCGAACGGTCGTGCACCATCCCTTGGGTGCGTGGGAGAAGCGGGATTCCGTGGCCCGGGATTTGCTCGTTTACGTTGTTCGTTCCGTGCTGTGTGTTTGTTGCTTGTTGCTTTTTGTTCGTTTGCTCGCTTGCTTGTTTGTTTGATTGTTTGTTTGATTGTTTGCGTGCTTGCTCGCTTGCGTGTTTGTTTGCTTTCTTGTTTGCTTGATTGTGAGTTTGCTTGCTTGTGTGTTTGTTTGTTGTTGTTGCCGTTGCTGCTGTTGCTGCTGCTGTTGTTGCTGTTGTTGCTGCTGTTGTGATTAGTATGTTTGTTATTGTTGTTGGTGCTGCTGTTGTTGTTGTCGTCGCTATTGTTGCTGCTGTTATTGTTGTTGGGTCCTGCTTCTAAGTTCTGAACGTTTATTATTGTTGATCCCCCTTCGGTGCCCAGTGTGTGATTCTGTTGAAATGCTCCTCCCGGGGCCCGAGGCTCGCCGAAACAGATTGGACCTCGGATCGGGCTGTGGCCCTCAGAAGTGCAACAACAAGTACAACAACAATAATAATTTTAAGACTGCTCGCTCTTTCTTGCCCGCGTGTCTATAGTTCTGTGCACATCTCACCGAACCTCGATACCCGCCCACGACGTCTTCGATGGCACCCCCTTGTGGGGGGAATCTCTTCCCCGTCGGCCACTGACTATAGTGACTAAAGTGCGAGGACATGTCGAGCGAGCACGCCGTTCCTGAGTTCGGGGGCCTCTCTAGCCAGGGTCTCCCGGGGTAAATCGTGAGGAAGAATCGAGCGAGAGCCTTTTTCATTATGGCTGGGCCTCCACCAACTCGACTGAATTACGAGGAAGTCTCCAGTGAGACCGCCGTTCCTGAGTTCGGGGGCCTCTCTGGCTAGGGCCTCTCGGAGTAAATCGTGAGGAAGCATCGAGCGGAAACCCTTGTCGTCGCAGTTGGGCCTCCACCAGCTTGACTGAACTACGAAGAAGTCTCGAGCGAGACCGCCTTTCCTGAGTTCGGGGGCCTCTCGGATGCTGCCCGAGCGGGGAGCGCTGGCCCGGGCGCGCCCTCGTCCCGTGGACACCACACCAGATGCACGCGGTCTGTGCGCAACGGCGCGGCGCATGCCGCCCTCGCACCGAGCGGCGGCTGCTCCGTGAGTCCAACGTTGGGGGCGCGCAAGCATGGATTAGCGATCCATGGGTTTGGCGCGCGGTCGCCAAATCCATGGATCGGGAGGGGGGGGGGGCCTCCCCAGAATGCGGCCGGTGCCGCCTAGCTCGGCGGCGGAAATCCGCGATTCCCCGCGGAAACGGGGCCCGTCGCTACTCCACGCCCCCTTGATCCATGTTTGCGATCGCCTGACAAAGGGGGAGCGCGCTGGTGGAGGGCGTGCCCGCCCGCCATCGGCGAACTCCGCGGCCAGGTCGGCTGCAGGGCTGCATCCGGCCACGGGCGTGCCCCTGCAGCGAGGGTTAGGTCGGGCATGTCCCCCACAGGCGGAGCTTGAGCGAAAAATGAGAAATGGCACAAAAAGGCCCACAAATAATCAAAAACTGTCGAAAAATCGTCCTGCGACGATGTTTTTTACTATTGTTGAATATTCCTCCTGTAGAGGACAAGCCCAACGTAAAGCGAGGGCCGCGGTGCGGCGGCTGCTCCACGAGCGCAGCGGGGGGCGCTGACGAAGGGTGCGCCGGCCCGCACAGGGGGCGTCTGAGAGGGGGGCGTCTAAGAAAGGGGGCTCGCGGATCACTGCCCGAGGTACGCGAAGGACGAGAGGGGGATTCCCGGGGACGTGCTGAAACAAGAAGAACATCATTTTAATAATAATAATAAAATAAAAATAATACGAATAATAATAATCGTAATAATAATAATAAGAAGAAGAAGAAGAAGAAGAAGCAGAGGAAGAAGCAAAAGGAGAGGCAGAGGCAGAAGAAAAAGAAGAAGAAGACGAGAGAGCCATGAGATCCTTCGAGAGATCTCGTGGCCCCCGCCGTGAAATCCCCCCCCCGAGTCATCATCCTGGCCCCCCCCGACCCGCCCTCAGCGACCTCTTCGGCCGGGTCGGCTGTACGTAGGGCTGCCTCGGGCCTCAGGGCGCGCCTCTGGCGGCGAGAGGAGTTGCGCTGGCCATGCTGGGTTTCGGGTGGGAGGAGGAGGAGGAGGAGGAGGAGGAGGAGGAGGAGGAGGAGGAGGAGGAGGAGGAGGAGGAGGGACGAGGAGGAGGAGTGGTCCGCAGCTGCTGGCTCTGGGCTCCGCGCGCTTTCGCAGTGCGTCGAATTCGTGGACTCTGGGCGTCTGGCTGGCGCTCGGCTCCGAAACCGAAAGAACAAAAGCAGGACCATGGACTGACAGGCGTACGGGCATACAGTAACGATAGTCGCACGGACGGACAGGCAGACAAGAGAAAGCAGACAGGCAGTCAAGCGGAAAGACAAGGCTGGACGACCAGCAGGGGGTGCGGAGTATGCTGGCCCTGAGCGCGAGGCCATTCTGGAATACGGGTCTCGAACAATGCAGAACGTCTCCTGTGCAGAGTCTGCGGGATCCTTCCTCCGTTCCCGCCCCTCCTCCTTCTCTCCCTCCTCCCCCTCCACCTCCTCCTCCTCCTCCTTCCTCCTCCGCCTCCTCCTCCTCCTCCTCCTCCTCCTCTCCCTCCTCTCCCCTCCTCCTCCTCCTCCTCCTCCTCCTCCTCCTCCTGCTTCCTCCTCTCCTCCTCCTCTTCCTCCTCCTCCTCCTCCTCTTTCTTCTCCTCCTCCTCCTTCTGCCCCTCTCCTCCTCCTCCTCCTCCTCTCCTCCTCCTCCTCCTCCTCCTCCTCTTTCTCCTCTCCTCCTCCTCCGCCTCCTCCTCCTCTCCTCCTCCTCCTCCTCCTTCTCCTCCTCCTTCCCTCCCCCTCCCTCCTCCCCCTCCTCCTCCTCCTCCTCCTCCTCCTCCTTTCCCTCCTCCTCCTCCTCCTTTCCCCTTTTTTTCTCTCCTCTCCCTCCTCCTCCTCCCTCCTCCTCCTCCTCCTCCTCTTCCTCCTCCTTCTCCTCATCCTCTCCTCTTCTCCTCCCTCCTCCTCCTCCTCCTCCCTCCTCCTCCTCTTCATATTATTATTCTTATTATTATTCGGATTATTATTATTATTATTATTATTAATTATTATTATTAGGTAGTAGTAGTATTATTATTATTATTATTATATTATTATTATTATTATTTTGCTTCTGTTTCTTCTTCCTCCTCCTCCTCCTCCTTCTCCTCCTCCTCCTCCTCCTCCTCCTCCGTCCTCCTCCTCCTCCTCCTCCTCCTCCTCCTCCTCCTTCTCCTCCTCCTCCTCCTCTCTCTTCTCTCCTCCTCTCCCCTCTCCCCCCTCTCCTCCTCCTCCTCCTCCTCCTCCTCCTCCTCCTCTCCTCCTCCTCCTCCTCCTCCTCCTCCTCCTCGTCTCCCACCTCCTCCTCTCCCTCCTCCTCTCCCTCCTCCTTCTCCTCCTCCTCTTCCTATGAATCACCCTCCTCCTCCTCTTCCTCCTCTTCCTCCTCCTCTCCCCCTCATGTTTCCACAGGACGTTGAACTCGGATGCGAAACAACAAATCTGCACACCAATCTGCGCACCACTGCACGCAACATCGACGCGCATACTGGTCCCGCCCGATGTGCTGCCCGATCGACCGAACGGTCGAAGGGCACGTGGATTGCTGGCGCACGTGTCCAAAAACTGGACAATGTTTTCGCGCTCGATTGATGCGAGTCAAGCCGCACAAAGCCTCGAAATACACATCTCCAATGCAATTCATCGCATTAGACAAGGCGGAAGCAGAGTGCGCGAAATCTTGGGCAAACTCGAAGCGCAATTTCTGAGACGGTGCCCTCAATGCATACACGAATGCAAATTCTCTCCAGAGCGCAATGGCCTCTATGCCTGTAAAGGGGGCCGTGGCTCTGAAACAAGCCATCTCGCTTGCCCAGTCCGGTTGTTTTTTGCTGGGATCCCAGGGGCGAGCTGAATATCACGAGGAGAGCCCAGCATCGAACCGATACGGGGACTTTTAAAACAGTTGGGTAACGGCTGTTACCCGGGGGGGGCGGTTTCGGCCGGCGGGTAACGGCAACGGCGGCCGCGGCGTGCGCCCGCCAGGGTGCGTCCGCGCCATCGTCACATGAATTGCCTGCGCGTGTTGCAATCCCTGCGCGCGCAACAATGCCAAATGCACTCGTGCAAGACAACGCCGCCTGACTGCACCACAGTGCTCCGGTGCACCACAACGGCTGCGTGCACAACGCCACCACGTCGCCCATGTACGCCGCAATATCTATACTGCAGCAACCGCGTGCGCAACAGCGTTTGTATACACCACATTGCCTGTGTGCACCAGAGCGCTTGTGTACACCGCAGCACCTGCGTGCACCACAGCAACCATGTGCACCACAGCGCCCGCGCACGCCACAATGCTTCGGTTCACCACAACGCCTGTCTACAACAAAACGTGCCAACGGGCACAGCAATAGCTTGCGAAGTTTTTTTTTGCGGTGCCCGCAACAGGACCGCGGAAACCCTCACCACGTCGCCCGTGTACACCGCAGTGTTTTTGTATAATGCAACAGCCGTGTGCGCCACAGCGCTTGTGTGCACCACATTGTTGCCTCCTCTTCTTCCTCCTGCGTCTGGCGCTCCTCCCCGTCCCCCTCCCCCTCCTCCTCCTCCCCCGCCGCTTTGCGGGGCTCGCCGCGGACTAAGGAGACCTCGGGGCTCGTCCTTCAGGCTCTCGCGGGGAAGGCCGTCCGTAGTTTGCTTCGAACGAGACGGCCAAGAGGAGATGGAACGATATGGGAGGAGGGGGGAACTCGGGAGCGAGGTGGGGGGGGAGGGAGGCCGGAGGGAATGGGGGAGGTTGGAGGAAACTTTTTTTGAATGGCGTATGAGCAGATAAGAGAGAACAGCCACATCGTACCTCGGCGCGCCAGCACGCAACGAACATGTCACGACATCCGGCCCGCAAGTGCCAGCGAAAGCCTACGAGGAGGACGAAGAGGAGCGAGGGGGAGGACGAGGCGAAGGGCAAGAGCGCTGTGCGGATAACCTCATATGGCCCAAGCGGCCACTTTTAGAATCCCAATAATGTACAGCGCAATTTAGAAGGGAAGAGGAAGGAGAGGAGGAGGAGGAGGAGGAGGAGGAGGAGGAGGAGGAACCGAGGACGACGAAAAAGGGGGAGGAGATGAGTAGACGGTGGAGCAGGCGGGAGGAGGTAAGATTATGTTATGCCATACAGCAGCTGCATTCACGGCATCGTTCGACATCGCCTCGCCTTCGTCAGCGCCGATTGCACATACGCGGGATAACCGTTGCTCCACCCAGACATGGCTGCGAACCTCCCTGGCAGCATTGCTTCCAGATTTTCACCAGTAGGAAGACCAGGAGAAGAGAACATAAGGATGTATACGTAGTTAAACCACACTAGTCCGCGCACTGCAATAGCCTGCAGGCGCCACAACAGGTGGGGAACCTGCGAACGCCACAACACGATTGTGAGCACCACGCGTGCCTTTCAGCACCACGCCATGCCTGGCGTGTGAGCACAGCGCCATAGCTGCTGAAAGGAAGGGGGTCCGACCTCCACCCCCAAAAAACGTACGATCGTTAGCGTTACCCCGAGGGGGGGGCCCGGGTAGCAAGCGTTACCCGCCAGAGGAGAAAAAAAAAGACGCTCTCAAGTCGGATCGGCGATCGGAATGAATCGGATCGGCGGAAATCGGCAGCTGAGTCGGGAAAAGTCGACTCGACAGAAATCGGCAGGCCAGTATATGCCTCCAGCAGGGATATCGGTGCCCACATCGGCATCCGACGTCGAATCGACTCGGAATCGGAAACCATCAACATCGAATCGAATGGAATCGGAGGAATCGATGGGAAATCCGAAAGGTACCGATACCGCTACTCCCCAGACCTCTCCTGGGGTGCGTTCTGCCCAGGATCTCGAGGCGAATCCAGCGGTGGCGACGAGGGCCTCCCAGGAGGCCCGAAACAGGGGAAAACGAGGGAGGGGTAGAGGTATGGGCACCCCTTCCTCCTCGTCGTCGACAGGAGCTCCGAGCATCCCGGGGCCTCTTCCCAGCGCGCAGCGCTCTGCCCCTCGGCGGCTCCGCACGCAGCAGGGCACGCCCTCAGTGGGCCCCGAAAGCGGCAGGGCCGTTTGTCCCCCGTGTCCGAGAGAAGGTCCGTCGAGAGTGGAAAGGGCAACAGAGTGGCGACGGGAAGCGGCAACAAAACCTGTAGGCCGGAAACTGGCAACGGAAGATGGCGACCGGAGGTAAGGAACCGAACTTGATGAACCGATGCTGTTTTCCGGCCCCGCACCGAGATTCGCAGGAGAAAACGGATTCTGGTGCATACGGCATCCTGGTGTATACATGTGTTGTTGCTTCCCCAGGAAGCCGTGGAAACAAAAGTATACACCTTAGGCGATGCTTAAGAAAACTTAAGTTTTCGGCCAGGGTCTCGATTATTCTTAATGTTCCAATGTAAATCTTAAGATTTTGATAGAACTGTTGGGTTTTTATTCAAGTTCTGAGACTATGAATTTCTTAACCCATGATTTCTTAAGCATTTCGCAGGGTGTACACCACACCATCCCGACGTCGTCCCCGACCCTCTAGAAAAAGTCCTGGGATTGAAAAACCGCCCGCCACTGGTAGTGTATATATGCTCCAGTTTCCGAAGGAGGGCCCGCCCCTCGTGATGGGCGTGTCTTCCACCAGCAGCACCACAAGTTGGAGGGGGGGTCCTCTCCCTCCTCCTCCCCCTCTTCGTCGTCGTCGTCCTCCTCCTCCTCCTCCTCCTCCTCCTCCTCCTCCTCCTCCTCCTCCTCTGGGGGTTCCCCCCCCCCTTCCTCCTTCCTCCCCCACTCCTCCTCTCGTATCTCTCCTCTCCCCATCCAACTTATGGTCGTGGTGGCGGTAAACAAGCCCGTCACCTCGGCCCACGCCACTCGTCCGCCTCTTCGAGCAGGGACCGACCGCCCCGGCATTCCTTCAGTCCTACCACGAAAAAACCCAAAGCGTTAGAACAACCAGAACAGCGTTCTTGGAACATCGGCACTGTGTGTTCAGACAAGACAGTCTCGGCCAGGAATGTTCTAAGAGCTTTTCGCGCAGACCACGAAAGATTCGTAGAGCATTCTTTGGTGGGCCTGCAGGCGTGCCAGGACGCTTCGCCACTGCTTGACATTTACTGCGCAAGACCGACGCACGGATGGGTACATCTCTCGGGCGATGCTCGGAAACAGTGGGCTGTACGTGAGGCACCTGGGATAATCACACGACTAGGTGGCGCCACAGATCGTTCATTGCTAGCCGGGCTCCTTTTCGCACGGATCCCCATCGGGCCCTCAGGAGAACCGGCCCACCCAAAGGCAAGCTCGACGCCTGCATCTCTGGCTCCCCCTGGGATAAACCCCAAAGGAGCCACGTCACACACCGCTATATTGGTGTTAGGTCGGGCATGCTCCCCTACAGGCGGATTTTGTGCGAAAAGGAAAACATGTTCAAAACTTATTCCAAAATAGGCCAACAAATTTCAGAAACATCATCCCCCGACTATTTTCAACTATTTTTGAATGTTCCTCCTGTAGAGGGACAGGCCCGACTCAATGGTAAAGTGAAGATCAGACTGCGAGACCCAGGGGGCGGCTGAAGCGTGCAGACATGGGCGCCCTGCCTCTCCAATTGCCGCCCTCTCCTCCGCCAGCTTCTCCCGAGATCCACCCCCCTCCTCCCCCTCCACATTCCTCTCGAGGTCCCTCGTTTTGGCGGTGGACAAACCTCCCTTTAGCAAACCACTATTTCGTGAAAACGGCCTAGGACCGAAACCGACGGACCTGGACCCGCAACAACGACGGCCGCGACGCCCTCTCGCGAACCGAAAGCGGCCAACTCGCTAATCCACGTGTCGGGGTAGGAGGTCTATCAACCTCCGACCCTCTTCCGCCTCCACATTTCTCTCGATGCCCCTCCTTTAAGATCCACTTCTTCTGACCCCTTCGACGCTGGTCTTGGAAGCGGCCAGGGGGCATATGCGCTGGATGGGCCCAGAGAGAATCGGCCAAGAGTCAGGTCGGGCATGTCCCCCTACAGGCCGATTTCGGACGAAAAATTCAACATACCCCAAACATGCACCAAAGTATTACAAAATCATCGAAAAATCGTCCACCTATGATTTTTGGACTATTTTTGAATATTCCTCCTGTAGAGGGACACGCCCGACTTAAGCCAAAAGGGGGGGGGCGAAGACAACTCCACTCAAAACCGGTCACCGGACCCCTCTCCGGGTCGAATTTTCGAGCCGCGTCCGGTCGTGGCGACGAGGGCGCCCCTTTCTCGCCTCGTTCTGTTGGCGGGAACCAACGCTGGGGGCCACCTCAGCCGCTCAGCCCTTGTCCTTCTTCTCCTATCCTTTCTCTCCCAGCATCCTTGTCGTGGTAGATGTCGGGGAGGTACTGCGGCGGCACGTGCTGCTTGTAGCAGGCGGGCGGCCACGGGCTGTCGTAGCCGGGAAAGCCGCTGAGGAACGGCATCCTGGGGGTCTCACGCAAAGAGAAGGGAGGAGGAGGAGGAGGAGGAGGAGGAGGAGGAGGAGGAGGAGGAGGAGGAGGAGGAGGAGGAGGAGGAGGAGGAGGAGGAGGAGGAGGAGGAGGAGTCTCGAAGTCGCCTTCGAAAGGGCGTTCGCTCTTGCGCTCCGCGACTGCCCCCGGCCAGCAGCAGCCCCACGGCATCGCACGGGGGAGGCCCTCGGGACCGCGGGTGGGTCAGGCGTGGCAGCGCTCCCCCCGCGACCGTCCTCGGTAGGACGAGGACGAGCAGCAGCTGCAGCAACGGACGCCGTAACAGCACACGTGCAGGTGGCAGCAGCATCAGCAGCACGAGATCAGCAGCGCTGGGAGGCAGCGTTCGACAAGCTGTAGCGGACAGAAACAAAAGCAGCTCTGGCACCACCACCAGAAGTTGCATCTGCAACGACGGGAAAGTTCACATCAACGGTCCTGAACGTACTAGCAGCAATGTCACCAGCCCTCCGGGCGCAGGTGGCTTAGCAAATTCTCTCTTTCAATTCCCTTCATTCCCTTCGGAGAAGGGCTTGCCACAACTTCTTGCTGGTGGACACACTCTCCCCCGGTCGACGGGCCGTCGACCAGGAACCGTGCATCGTCCCACCAACCCTGTCATACGAACAAACAAGACACAGCTTTGTCCAAGCGAGAAACACTTCTTTACGTCGGCGGAAAGGCAGAGGCAGTTCGCGCAAGTGCGAGGCGAATCGGGGAAACCGAAATGCGCATTGTCCGGCGTGCAAGAGGAAGGACAGCAGACGGCGGCGGCTGTGTTGCCCGAGCGAAACACCAGATGATGCTCGGCTAGACGCAAGAGTGACCCTGGATAAGAGTGACCTTCAGTGCGAGGCTTTGGGGGGGCGGGGCTCGAGGGGCCAAACACAAGCGCGCAGGCCGCTGCTATCGCACCGTGCTCAGCGGTCGGGGGGGCCCCGGCGAGCCCGCACAAAGTTCACTCCGGCGAAGGGTCACTCCCCAGACCCCCGACGTCGCGTTTTTTTCCACACGTCGACCCCAGAGGTCTGGAGCCCTTCCCCGGGACTGGTTCTGCATCCTGAGTCGTTTTTTGACGGCCCCACTTGGATGGCCGCGGCGGTGGCTAAGTACTTAACATACTTACTACGCTAAGTTAAGTACTTAGTAAGTAGTTAGCGGACTTAGCTAAGTACTTACTCAGTCATTACTAAGTGGCCCACTTAGTAATGACTTAGTAAGTACTTAGCTATCCACTTATAACCAGTTAGCTAAGTGCTTAGCGCACTAAGCTAACCACTTATAACCGCTTATAGCTAGTTTGCTAAGTAGGTTATAAGTGACTTAGCGGTTACATTGCACTTGTTATCCAAGGGCCATGCACAGGGAAAAAAAGGTAAATCCACGTCTTGAAAGAGCTGAGTTTGTTCGTTGAGCGTTGCAGCGCTACAAATTTTGCATTTTGATTTGGAGTCGGTGTCCTGGATTTTTGCTTTAAATATGAGAAGCGCTGCAGCGCTGCCTTCGGATTTATATGAACATGAAGCGCTGCGTGCGCTGAAGATGAAGCGCTGCAGCGCTGAATGTTGAGTTAAATGCACGTTTTCTAGTTGCACGTTGTTCGGATCTTCATTTTCGCCCAGCTCCGTTTGCAAGGAATTTGAATGCACATGTCAATTATGTTTTGTTGTATTCGTTGTTTTTCAATGGTCGCATTGAGCGCTGCAGCGCTCCAAATTTGATAGCACGTATGTTACTTTGCGCTGCAGCGCAAAAAATGGTTGTCGTCGTGATGTCGCATCGCGCTGCAGCGCGTGCGCGCTCGTGCTTCATGGGCCTCGGGCTGCAGCCCAGATCAACATTTTTGCTCGCAAGTTGCATGTCCATGCAAGTCGATGTTCACGCGCACGCCGCGCGACAGCTTGTCTCAAGCTGCGGCCGCGCGCCGCATCCGCCGTCGCGCCCGCGGGCTCGCACGTTGCATTCGGCGCTATATATAGCGCTGGCATGGCGCTGCAGGCGCGTCAGGAGGAGCAGATCTTGCAGTACATCGAGGAAAGCAATTCCTCGGGGAGGTTGGCATCGGGGTGGGATCAACTGAAGGAGTTCCTGCTGGCGGAGGGGCTAGCGTATTACCAGCAGGTCCCACCGAACCAGATGGGCATCGACATTCGGAACCGCAGCGGTTCGTTAGTGAACCCTGCGCGGGCTCACAATTTAGGCGCGAAGATTTGCGCCCAGGGCTTCGTCTTGGCCAAGACGGCTGCAGCCACTGCCTTCGAGGCCCCGCAGGGGGCGCAGTTGGAAGAGACCGCGATGGCGAACGACCGCCTTTCGCGGCTCAGCGGGGGTCGGTGCCCCCCGCTGGACTCATTGCGGTATACGTCAGTGGGCGGCTCCCACACGAACGTCTTCCTCCGCTGCGTGCTGGCCAAGGCGCCGACCACAGTGAAGGCGCTGGCAGACTCTCGGGACAACATCGACTCCGAAAAGCTGTGCGCGTTGCATCCGCAACTTGCGACGGCAGTCAAAAAGGGCCTGACGTGGTTGATCATCAAGCACGCGGTGGCCAAAGTGAAGGGCCTCAAGAACTTCGTGCAGAGGGCTTTGAACGCCGACGTCAGGGAGGCGGTTCACGAGACCGAGATCATTCGGTCAGGCTGCAGCCTATCCCCACTATAGTATATAGCGGTATGTAGTAAGGACCAGGATGATGCACGAGGAGGGTGATGAGTGGGAGCGCGTTGGGGAGGAGGTGAGAACGAGGAGCAGGAGCATTATATCTTACAGTGCTGCAGCACTTGATCGGCTCGGCGCTTGCTGCAGGCAGGTGGGCGGATGCTCTTGGCACACAGCCTCGCTGAGGGTTCCAGCAAGCCCGATTGGCGCGACATCGCCGAGCAAGCGGGCCACGCGAACCCACCTTGCAAGGCGTGGATCGCTGACTTGTGCAAGTTTGTTGAGCTCGGGCCACAAAACGGAGAACTTCTCCGTGAAATAGATGAAGCCCTCAAGACCTTCACGAATGTGGACGTCTCGGGGCAAACTTTGATGTGCGGCTCTGAATTCTGGCGCAAGTTGAATTCGATTAAATGGGGGAAGCACCAGGAGTCGTACCCGTATGTCGTAGCGGCGCTCGTGAAGGCCAACTATTCAGGCGAGCACGTGGTGGATAGCATGTGCAGGACCATCCATAAGCTTGTCGGCGCCCCCTTGTAGTGACATGCGCTGCAGCGCATCTATGCATTGCGCTGCATTGTTAGAACTGCGTGCCCACCCCTCCCCCCTCCCCACACACACACACACGCACCGTTACATTGCTTTATTCCCAAACGCAATCGCTGAAGCGATGGGCGGATCAAGGCAAACGAGATCGTCCACGTCGCGTCCCGCAAGGCGGACGTGGCTGCGGCCGACAACCTCATGGCCGACGCAAGGTCGCTCGTGAAGAGGTTGGATATCGGAGCGGAGCAGGGCTTCTTGCACATCGCAAAGTTGGATGTCCGCTGTGCCATGTACCTGGTGAAGAAGCGAGCGCCAGGAGACCGCACTTTCGGATGCGTAGCAGATATAGCACAGGTATCTTCTCACGCCACCTTTCGTGTGCTCCTTGTTTCCCTCCCTCCCTGCTTTTCGCCATTCAATGTCGCTGCAGCGACCCTCCAGAGAGGTCTTCCTCCATGAGCTCGGGGAGCCAGCCCAGCTGCAGATGAAGAGCTTGGGGATCGAGTTCGGCAAGGCGGTGCAGACCGACAAGCAAGGCGATGGCGCACCCGAGTTCCCAGCGAGCGCCGATGCAGACGCGCCGCGCGCGGCAGCGTCGTCGGCCGCTGAGTTGAAGAGCAACGTCTTCCGCATGCGGCGTGCAGGGTTCGACGTGGGGAAGCACATCGTCCAGAAGAAGGAGGTGGATGACGTCTTCGAGGTGCTCTCCATCTCGGAGAATGGGATCACCGCTCAGAAGAAGTTGCACGGCGACCTGGTGGGCGAAGAGATCTCCATTGCGTGGCTGCAGCCACCCCGCCGCCCGTGCAGGGAGCAGGGAGGGGGGAGGAGGAGGTAGTAACTGCGATATTGTATTTCCTGTACTTAAGTTGCAATGGGTTGGTCGATGCGCTGCAGCGCACGGAGCAGTTAGCCGAGCGGGCGGATTGAAGTAAACATATTGCTCGAGAATTACAAGTTGACGTCCAGGGCGCAGGAGCAGTTGCCGTTCACGAAGGAGCACTTGCCGCCAGCCCACGAGGGTTGGGCGATGGACGCGTTCAAGGGGGCATGCAACATGGCGCTGCGGCTCCAAGCGCTGAAGTACCAGGCGAACATTTTGCACTTGGAGATCCTGCAGGACCCACCTGCCGTGCGCTGCAAGCGAGCGTTCAAAGTGGGTGAGCTCGTCAGACTTGTGCTTCCGCAATCGTCCGCGCCCCCCTCCGACGACGCCGCGCTGCAGCGCTGCGCTGAGCACGAGGTAGCGAGGATTTCGGGGCACGTCAGGCCGTAGCGACGAGGTCAGTGATGTTACCGACTGCGCGCCATGTAGCTCCACGCGGTGGGAGTGGTCGCATTTCAGCCTCGTCCACGCGGGTCAGCACGGGCTGCGTTGCGGAGAGCATCTCGTTGGGGAAGGTTGGCCTCTACGAGTTCTTCGTGGGCCCGCAGTTCGCAGGGCCCCCCGCTGAGGGGTCGCGGGGCCCCGACGCCTTTGTCAGCCCCTTCTGGGTGGTGGCAAAGTCCGACTCAGAGCCCAACATGGAGCTCCGAAAGGAGACCGTGACGTTCGGGACAGGCGTCAACAAGGTGCAGGTGGGGGTGCCCCAGATGCATAACACTTGCGCCCTGTCCGCGGGCGACTTCCTGGTGGTGAAGCCGTGGCCGCGGCTGCAGCCGCGGCCAGCCAAGAAGCTCAGGACGGCCTGAGCTGGCGATATAGAGGGACCACGCGGGAGGATGAGGCAGGAGGGAGGGGTGATGCGGAGGAGGAGGAGGAGGCAGGGTAAGG